TGCAGTGCGCTGACTGCGACCTCAGCTTGAGCCTGCGCGGCTGCGTCGAAGACGGGATCGACATGACCCGCGCAGTCGGACTGAGCGATGAGACCGCGAGATGGACAGAGGACGAGAAGCAGCGGAGAATGCAAACGGACGGACGAGTACACGTTGGAATGTTTTCCCGAACGGCCCAAGAGCAGGATGGGCAGATCCGTGGCTGGGGCTCTGACCCAACCGCCGTCCGGACGCGGCACGCGGAACAAATCTGATCCGGATTGCCAGCGAGCAAGCCTACGCCACTTGTTAAGCTGCCAGGATCGGAACCAAGGTGCTCCGGTGTCCTCTGGCACAACTAAAAAAACAGCGCGGCACTTGCCTTCGGCAAGTGCCGTGGACAGGAACGACATGGCATGCCCTGCCAAGGCACGGGGCGGGTGTGCCCAGACTTTGTTTCCTGACACGTGCGCCTCAAACGCGGTGTTCTCGGGGTGAAACCAGAGCGGCGCTTTCGCGGTGACCCCCAGCCGGTCCGCGAAAAGATCGCAATCAAATGGGCCGAATTCGTTGGTGATGCGGTCCATCACCGACGCTTTCAGCACAGCCTCGCGGAAAGGGTCTGCATTCCATCGAGACGCAAATGCTGAGTCTCGGGAGCCGGAATCCGAGATGACATTCGCTGCGCCCGCCAAGTGCACGGCCAAACACCAGCACCCGGCCGAGCGTTCTGCATGCTCGAATTCCTCGGCCAACTGCACGAGGTGCGGTATGCGACCGGAGCGGAAGTTCACGTAATGGATGGCGGCCGTGTTATCAATTCGAAACACGACGCGCCATCCGCGCAACCATTCGGGTTCTGCCTGAACGGCCTGGACCACGACCCACAACTCTTTAAAGTTTATCGCGTCTGCGTTGTCTGCGAGATCTGCGAAGCCTGCCGGCCAAACGCCGGACCTGACCACGCCAGCGCTGCACAAATTATACGACCATCCGTGCAGCTTGCTGGCGTCAGTTTCTATGACGCGCAGGCAGCCGGCAGCCGCCAACCGACGCCAATCTTGGAACTCGGGGGATTTCGGCCCCCAAAGCGAAAGCTGCCCAGCTTCACCGTGCAGCGGTCGCTCCGGGGTGCGGTCCAGAGCGCGGTGCCACCACCTCAAAGCTTCGCGCGCGTCGGGGCTCAAGTGGACAACGGGGTTCGCCGCTGGGCGGCGAGCCCACAGCGCGTACACGTTTGCTGCGTTCAGCGACGCCCAGACATGATACAGTCGCCGCCTGCCTTGCAGGAACACCTCCGCAATATGGTTGGCCAGACCGGCGGTGGCTGCGAGGTCTCGCGCCAGCAAGGTTCCGTCTGAATCTGCCTGCAGGGCGGCGAGAATGAGGGCTTGGCACTTGTCGCACTTTGTACGCTCAACAGACAGCGTGTTGTTCAGAGTGTCGAACACCCATCCTACCCACGTCTGGACTTGAGAGGGCGGCCGGATGCCGCCCTCTTTTGCAGAGATCGGGACGCCGATCTTCAGGAAGAACCGGACGACGCGCTCCAGCTCCAGCCACGCGTCCTCCTCGGAAGATTGTGCACCCAGATTGTCGTCTACGAAATCTGTAAGCACGGCGTTCTCGTGCAGCTGCAACAGCCGTAATAACTCCTTCAAACTAGAATCGTTGATGGAAGGTGCTGTTTTTAGGCCGAACGGCAGGAATGTGTACATGCCGTACTGCTGTCGCCCCGGGGACCAGAAACCCAGCCACCACGCATCGGAAGGCAAGACGCGCCAGTTGCAGAACGCATCCGCCAAATCCACAACGTACAAAAAGCTCCGCGGGGACATGCGCGATATCGCCAGATCAACCGTCCCGTAGTTCACTGGGAGGTCGGGCAAGGAGGTGTTCAACCTGCTCCGGGAAAGGTCCATGATAATACGAACTTTGACCCTCTCCTCTCCTGGCGCGTTGTCTCTGGCGCCCGCCCGCGGCTTGACGATAGCCGCACACGGGTTGACATGCAATTGTGCGGGTCGACTAGTGCCTGGAAGAAAGGTAATTTTTCCCAACCGTTCCAGACGTGACCATTCCAAATCAGCGAGCCGAGCGTGATGCGACAGCGACGGGTGATTGGGAAAAGCTTGTGGCGTGAGCCCCCTGTCAACTTGAAGGCAGCAGCCGTTCTCCCAACGCTCCAGAAAAGTAGCCGAAGCACCGAGCTCCTTGAGCAGATCGACATTCAGCCGTAAGCCCGTGATGCCGCCTACCCAGATGGCCTGGCGTCTGCCACGCGCACCTCCCACAAGAGCCGCTGCAAGCGGTCGGTGCCATGGTGAAGAGACATGCCGGGAGGGCGGAACAACGGACACACGGGCTGCGCCGAGTTTGAGCCCTGTGTGTACGGACTCCCCCCGTGCAAGGTGTGACAGGCGAGCGCGCGCGGAGGCTGCGGCGACCGCCGGTGGACATTGGGGCCGCCCATAGCCACCTGGGAGGCCGCGGGCAGCCCGGAGAACTGGACCAGCGAAACACTAAGCGCCGCTGGCCAAGCCCCCCAGAAAACTGGACGACGTGCATCCGTATTTTTCGGCGCCCGACGGTGGAACAGTAAGCGCCACCAGCGGGGCCGCGCTACCAGGACAACAGCGCTTGTTGGCCACTGAGGGTTGTGCCTTGGCACGCGCCCAACGCGCCAAAAACTTGGACGACCGAGCGTCCACCAGCGACGGCGCCCACTGGTGGGACAATAGGCACCACCTGCAGGGCCAAACAAAACCGCTCAAAAAACGCGACCGATTGCGAGCGTGATTTAGGACGCGGGGGAATCCAAAGGCAACGAAACTCGCCGGTGGGACAGTTAGCACCACCAGCCGGCCTGACCAGCGAAACAATAAGCGTGGCTGACTTCATGAGCCGTGTTCGCGCGCATGCACTGCACCGCGCGCAATGTCGAACTGCACGTGGCGTGTATAGAAGGCGGGGCCAGCGCGGGAAGGACAATAAGCACCGCCCGGAGCCCCTGGCCAGCGGAGCCGTAGGCGCCGCTAGCCACTCGGACGAAGGCCAGGCCGACGGAGCAATAGGCGCCGCCAGCTGACCTTGTCTTGAGCAGTGGCTGTTTGAGCCGGCGAGACGCGCGGGGAGGACAGTAAGCACCACCCGCGGCGCCCCTGGCCAGCAGAGCAGTAAGCACCGCTGGCCCCCTGGACGAAAGCCATGCCGACGGAACAGTAGGCGCCGCCAGCTGACCTTGTCTTGAGCAGTGGCGGTTAGAGCCGGCGAAAGGGAGGAGAGAGGGAGGGGGAGGGAGGGGGGAGGGGGAGAACGGAGGGCTCCTCAACTCCTTTGGGACGGGGTCGAGAGCTCGCCATGGGAAGCCGCCCGTTGAACGGTTCTCGCAGCGGCACTGGTGTTACGGCCAACCATCCCTCGAGCGAGCCTGGGGCGCCAGCAGCCAGTTCTCGTGACACCACTTCTCTTGCGGGTTCTCGCATCGGTACGGCCAACCAACCCTCGAGCGAGCTAGGAGCGCCAGCAGACCGGTCCTCGCGACACCACTTCTCTTGCGGCTCCCCATTCCCACAGCGAGTTAAGTGGACAGTCTCGGTAGACCGTTCTCTCTCCTCTCGGCCACTAGTCGGTCACAAACACATATGAGTATATGTATAACTCCACCCTCCGACCCCTCCTCCTCCTCGGAAGGGGGGGGGAGAGGGCGGGGAAAGGGAGAGAGTGTTTTGGAGGGGCCGATTGCGCGTTTTGCGACGCGGCCTGCGCCCTGTGAGGCGTCCTGCCACGAGACGGCAGGAAAGTGCGAAGCAGGGCGCCATGTGAGACGCCCTGCGACGCAATGCGCCCTGTGCGGCGCTCTGCCAACGGACGGCAGGCACTCGGCCCCGCGGGGACGTGACCCCCCGAGCCTTAGCCCAGCGGCACACTAGGCGCCGACGAAGCCGGGTAAGGCCGCCTGCGGACCATTGCCAGCACAGTAGGCACTGGCAATGCTGATCGTGTCCCTGATGTCCGAAGCATCTGCGTCTCTAGATCGCCCATTATCCGAAAAGCTTCGCCTTCCTCCTAATAGGATCAACATGTGGAGGGCAGGGGCAAGGAGGGAGGAGGGGTGAGGAGGAGGAGGAGGAGGAGGAGGAGGAGGAGGAGGAGGAGGAGGAGGAGGAACGCGGGGCGCGGTCTCTTCAAACCGAAGGCCCAACACCGCAGGTTGGTTGGGAATAAATATGGGGGGGGGGGGGGGGCAGACACAAGCAAAGCGCCTGAGAAATCATCACAATCTACTCTACAAGCAAAGGGTGTCGGGCACCCAAACTAGCAAACCGCTTGAAACATCCCCACAGCCTGGGCGCGAACGGAGGAGTGAGATACCTCCTGGCGGCTTCCCCTTGGAGTGCTGAAACCAGCGCATCGCCTGAAACAGGCTTCCGCTAGGAGTACTGAGACCAGCGCCTCGCTTTTGACATCCTCACAGTCTGCGTGCACGAATGATTCTGAGCATGCGTGAATCTGAATGAGGAAGTAATGAATCTGACTGAGTCTGCGTGAAGGGAAGAGTGAGTCTGAGTATGAGTGAGTCTGAGAGAGCAAGTGATGCGACCGAGTCTGAATGTGAGTGGGTCTAAATATGAACGAGTCCGAGTGTGAGTCGGTCTGAGTATGAGTGAGCCGTAGAATGAGCAAGTCTGGTTGTGATGAGTGAGCGTGAGTGTGAGTGTGATTAAGAGGAGACGGAGGCAGGCTGCGGAGGAGGGGTCGACGAGGTCTTAGCAATCAGAAGGAACCCGTCTTAGGATATGGAGGACGAGCGCTTGCACGCCGAGACGCATGTTGGAGCCCCCCCTCCGCACACGTCTTCTTACGTGCCAAATGCCGAAGCCTGCTGCTCGACAACAGTCTGATACAGGGCCACAGGCTCGCCAACGCAGAGAGCACCCTGGGCCGGAGCCCTTACCAGGAGAAAAACAAGGGATGCGGAGGAGGAGGCGGAGGAGGCGGAGGAGGAAAAGGGGGACGTCCTTGTACCTCTCGTACATCTCCTCCTGGGCCGCGCTGCGAAACGGCGACCTCACGAAGATGACGTTCACGAGCTGGCCACGCTCCGTCCGGCACGGCTGGAACGGGTACTCGCGAACCCGCTGGCCCCAGCCAGGTGGGAGCCCCTGGGGCGCGGCGCAGAGCCCTCCTGCTCCGGGTGAGCAGAGGCATGTGTACATGCACTCCCTCCGCGGCCTGTGTGCACGAGTGGCCGAGTGCCAGCGCGGGCCAGCGGAAGCTAACTGCGCGGGCGTGGCCTCTGAGCTCCTCCTGCATGGCCACACCCACCCAAGGAACGCGCAACCTGTCGGGAGGTCTCCGGAAGCCTCCAGGGGACTCCGCAGGCCTCCGGCGACAGGCCTCCCCGGAGGTCTCCGCAAGGAGTCTCACGGCAACCCGCGGCGGTTTCGTGAGGCCAAACACTATTCAATCGGCAGTGCAAGCGGCCGCGGGGGCGGGAAACGAGTCCGGCGGGGCGCGCGAAGCGCGAGGCACGCGGAGCGGGCGGGACAGCAGAGAGCGGCCGCGGAGGAGGCAGGAGGAGAGGGAGGCAGGAGGAGGAGGAGGAGGAGGAGGAGGAGGAGGAGGAGGCACGACCGCCGAGAATCGGCGGGTGAGGAGCGCGCAGGCGGCCTCAGGTGCCGAGGACAGTGCACAGCAAGTTTAGGAGCAGAAGGTGGACCCCGATCGAGGTCCTGGATTTCCGGACGCTTTGGGGCACCGCTTGAGGAAACAAACTGAATAAACATACACTTTTGGAACTCTGCGCGGATCTCTTGGATCCGCGCTGGGCCCCTCTCCCTGGCGCGCGGAGCGCGCCAGGAGCGGCGCTGGCGGCGCAGCAGGAAGAGGGCCCGACGTGGATCCAAGAAATCCGCGCGGAAGTCCACACTTCACGTTTATGTTTGTGGTTTCAAACGGCGCCCCAGACTCTGGGGCATCGTTCTTCGGCGGTGGACAGACCTCCCTTTAGTACACCTCCCCTTAGTGAAACGCGCCTGGGACCGAAACCGACGGACCTGGACCCGCAAAAATGACGGCCGCGAAAATGACGGCCGCGACGCCCCCTCGCGAACCGAAAACGGCCAATTCCTTACCCGACGCGTCAGGGTAGGAGGCCTGCCCACCCCCGAGCTCTTCTTCAGACGCTGCTCCAGAGGAGACTCCTCGTCGAGCGACGCTCTGCGGCCCGAGCTTTTCGGGCGCCCTGGGCCCGGAACGCCCGAGAGCACCTCGGGCCTCGATTTTGGACACCCGAAATGGGTACCGAAAGAATGGGTACAATGCCCAACAACAAATGTTGTCCCAAACCAACAGCGGCCGCTGTTGGGCAGGCGGCCTTCTGTCTCGAATGGACACAGGCCGCGGCGGCGCGGACAGCGAGCCCTGTTCAGAATGAACAAGATCCGCTGTTGGGCATCGTACCCATTCTTTCCGTACCCATTCTTTCCGTACCCATTCTTTCCGTACCCATTTCGGGCATCGTACCCATTCTTTCCGATCGATCCTCGCAGCCCCGCGCTGGTGAGCGCCGCCTCCCTCGGAGAGCGGCCGCTCGGGGCTCCGGCGCTCGCGCCTCGCAGGCCCGCGCTTTGGCGCTCGGCGTCGGGCGGCGCGCCGAGCCCCCTCTCGCGCTCCTTCTCCCTGGGAGGGAGGGGGAGGAGGAAGAGGAGGAGGAGGAGGAGGAGGAGGAGGAGGAGGAGGAGGAGGAGAAAGAGGAGGAGGAGGGGGAGGAGGAGGAGGGGGAGGAGGGGGAGGAGGAGGGGGAGGAGGAGGAGGAGGAGGAGGAGGAGGAGGAGGGGGAGGAGGGGAGGAGGAGGAGGGAGGAGGAGGGGGAGGAGGAGGGCGACGTAGAGATGCTGAGGTGTTCCTTGAGCAGAAGCGCGTTCGGCCGCTTCTGCGCGACGCGCAGGCACTCTGCGGCAAGCTGCTGGGCCCCGCGGTTTCGGAACAGTGGTGGCGCGATGAATATGCCCCTCAGCAGCGCAAGCGGCGGTGGCGCGATCTGATTGTCCTAAGCCGTAGAAAGTGGAAGGTTCAGATAGCACTGCTGGGCGCCAGCGGCAGAATGAGAAACATACTTTCGGATGCTGTTGGGGGAACGCTTCAAACAGGAGGAGGACGAGTCGAGTGGGCTGCTCGACGACATGCTTCGGGAGACGGGCGTGGCCGCTGTAAATACCCGCGTCCCGCCCTTGACTCAGGACTCGTACGCGCTCGTTGCGTCTAAGCCAGAGTCCCCCCCCCGCCCCCGCAGAGGAAATTTCGCTGCGGCTGACCAGTCTATGGTTCCCGACACTGGACAGCTGTAAATTAAGTAGGTATCGGCGTCTTCTGCAGTGGCTAAGATAAGATCACTACCCCGTGTTTGTACGGCCAGACCAATGACAGAAAAAATATCCTTCAAGAGCATGAGACCCTCCGCCCGCCAAAACACGCCAAACCATGAGATCACCGAGGGTACCCTCCCCCAGGATGCACAAAAACATACGATAAGCATGGAGAACACCAGGGTACCCTCCCCGAGCCGACCTCGATATCATACTTCGGTCCGACTGTGTGCAGGAGACTCCAACCGAACTCGTTCGGTCCCAAATAGCGTTTCGGTCGGTCCCGCCTCATTGGCTTCCCAAGCACTCTTTCTCGCTCACTTTTCGGGCCCGTCTCGGGCCCCTCGTCGGCTCCTCTGCTGCTGTGTACTCAAGGAGCTGAGGCAGGACGCCGACTTCTCTCCCTCCTTCTTACTGTTCCTCCTCCGCCTCCTCCTCCTCCTCCACCTCCTTCTCCTCCTCCATCCCCTCCTCCTCTTCCTCCTCCTCCTCCATATCCTCCTCCTCCTCTTCCTCCTCCTCCTTCTCGATTTCCATCTCCCCCTCCTCCTCCGAAGAAGAAGAAGAACAGGAAGAAACAACTCGCCTGGCAAAAGACTCAACCATATGCAGTTGTGGGTGCCGTCGTTGTATGCACCGCGTTCGGTGGAGATCTCTATGGGGCTACGAAACGTATGAGCGGTGTGCCAAAATGGGTGCGGCGGCCGCATGCAAGCGCTGGCATTTGGGCCGTCGGTGGAGCTCCCTGTGGGCCACGAAACGTCCGAATGGTGTGCCAGTCTGCGTGCGGCGGCCGCATGCGAGCGCTGGCATGTGGGCCTCCAGTGGAGCTCCGGGGCCACGAAGCGTGACGGGCGTGCCACAATGGATGCGGCGGCCGCATGCGAGCGCTGGCATCTGGGTCTGGTCTTCGGTGGAGCTCCCTATGGGGCCACGAAACATGTGAGGGGTGTGCAGAAATGGGCGCAGTGGCCGCATGCGAGCGTTGGAATTTGTGCCTTCGGTGGAGCGCCGTGTGGAGCCACGAAACGTGCGAGGGGCGTGCCGACATGGGCGCGGTGGCCGCATGCCAGCGCTGGCATCTGGGGCTTGGGTGGAGCTCCCTATGAGGCCATGTGTGCCGAAATGGGTGGCGCGGACGCATGTGGGCACCGCTACTGCGGCCTTCGGTGGAGCCCCCAGAGGGGTGTGCCAACATGGGTGGCGCGGGCGCATGAGGGCAGCGCCACTTGGGCCTTCGGTGGAGCTCCCCATGGGGCCACGAAACGTGTGAGGGGTGTGCCGAAATGGATGGCCCTGACGCATGCGGGTAACACCACTTGGAAAACGTATGGGGCCACGCAACGGTTGAAGGGTGAACCGACATGGGTGGCGTGGACGCATGTGGGCACCGACGCTAGGGCCTTCGGTGGAGTACCCTATGGGGCCACGAAGCGTGTGAGGGGTGTTCCGAAATGGGTGGCGCGGACGCATGTGGACACCGCCACCGGGGCTTTCAGTAGAGCTCCCTATGGGGCCACGAAGCACGTGAGGGTGGAGCTGCTTGTGGGGCCACGAAGCGTGTGAGGGGTGTACCGAAGTGAGTGGCGCGGACGCATGTGGGCAACGCCACTGAAGCCTTCGGTGGAGCTCTCTATAGAACCACGAAGCGTGTGAGGGGTGTGCCGAAATGGGCGCGGTGGAACCGCATAAGAACCCTGCCACCTGGGCCGTCGGCAGAGCTTCCAATGGGGCCACCGAGCGTGTGCGGGGTGTGCCGACACGGGTTGCGATGATGGTGATGGTGACGGCGATGATGATGATGATGATGACGATGGCGAAAACGAACTTGATGATGCTGATGATGAGAAGGATGAAAATAATGATGGAAGTAATGATAACAATGGGGGTGGTGATGATAACGTGATGACGCTGGTGATGGTGATGGTGACGCTGCTGATGACGATGATGATGGTGATGGTGGTAATGATGACGACCATGATGACGACGATACTGCTTATGAAAATGCTGATGATGATGTTGCTACTGCTGATGCTGATTATGATGATGATGGTGATGTTGATGAGGATGATGCTTATGACGTCACCGATGGCGATTGATAGTATGCGGAGGGATGACGATGAGGGTGATGGGATGATGGGATGATGGTGCTGAGCGTGATGATGAGGATGATGATGATGGTGGCGGTGATGATGCTGATCCGCACGTCTAAAGGGGTCAGGGGATCCACGCTCGGACTGCCCCTCGGTCTCGCGCGCCACGGCACGCCCGCGCAAATTCGCCTGAGTGCCGAGAGGCCGCCCCCCGCCCCAGCCCAGCCGAAGCAAGCGGGATACGCGACATCCGAGCAGTCGCGGCGACTCAGCCCGCACTCCCGCCGGCTGGTACGCACCTGGCGCCGCCAGGCGAAACATCAGGCGAGCTCACGCGGCAAAGTCCTGGGGCCCTCGAGTGGGATCCCCAGGAGGATGCTGGCCACTGCGAGGGCCATCCGGGGGGCGGCCCCCGCCTCCAGGAGCTCGTCCACAGACAGGAATTCGAGGTCCTCGTTCTCGCCCAGGTCCAGGCCGAGGTCACGTTTGCACGGGCCCTGCGAGTCCTCCCGCCTGCCCTCGCAGAGGTCCTCTTCCTCGCCCAGGTCCAAGCCGAACTTGCGCTTGCGCATGCCCTTCAGGTCCTCCAGTCTGTCCTCGCGGAGGATCTCGTCTCCGTCTAGCTCCAGACCGAACTTGCGCGAGCGCAGGCCCCTTAGGTCGTCCATCCTATCCTCGCAAAGGCTCGCGTCAGCACCCGGGCCCACGCCGAACTCGCGCATGCGCGGGCCCTTAGGGTCCTCCAGCCTGCCCTCGCTGAGGACCTCGTCCTCGTCCTGGTCCAAGCCGAATTTGCGCTTGCGCATGCCCTTCCTGTCCTCCAGCCTGTCCTCGCCGAGGCTCTCCTCCTCGCCCAGGTCCAGACCGACCTCGCGCTTGCGAAAGCACTTCACTTTGTCCAGCCTGTCCTCGCAGAGGCCCCCGTCCTCGCCCAGGTCCCGGTCGAACTTGCGCTTGAGCCGGCCCTTCACGCCCCCCAGCCTGTCATCGCAGAGGCCCTCGTCCTCGTCCAGGTCCAGGCCGAACTTGCTGTGTTTGTGCATGCCCTCCAGGTCCTCAGCAAGCCTGTCCACGCAGAGGCCCCCGTCCTCGTCCATGTCCAAACCTAACTTGCGCTTGTGCCGGCCCTTCATGTCTTCCAGCCTGCCCTCGAGGAGGCCCTCGTCCACGCCCAGGTCCAAGCCGAACTCGCGCTTGCACGGGCCCTTAGGGTCCTCCAGCCTGCCCTCGCGGAGGCCCTCGTCCTCGTCCAGGTTCAGGCCGAACTTGCGCTTGTGCATGCTACTTGATGTCTTCCAGCCTGTCCTCGCAGAGGCTCTCGTCCTCGTCCTGGCCCAGACCGACCTTGCACCTGCGCAGGCCCCTTCAGGTCGTCAAGCCTGTCCTCGCAGAGGGTCGCGTCGGCGCCCTGGTCTTAGCCGAACTCGCGCATGCGTCGGCCCTTTCAGGTCATCCAGCCTGCCCTCGCGAAGGCCCTCGTCCTCGTCCAGGTCCAGACCGACCGAACTTGCGCCTGCACTCCAAAGTACACGCCCTCAGGTCCTCCAGCCTGTCCTCGGGGAGGCTCTCCTCCTCTTCCAGGTCCAGACCGACCTCGCGCTTATGCAGGCCCTTCATGTCGTCCAGCCTATCCTCACAGACGCCCTCGTACTCGTCCAGGTCCAGCCCGAACTCGCGCTAGAACCTGCCCTTCAGGTTCTCCAGCCTGTCCTCACAGCGGCCCTCGTCCTCGCCACCGAGAGCCTGGCATTGCTCTTCGGGTGCCGCCTCGAAGTCGCCGAAGGACACCGCGGCCGCCTCAGGGAGCGGGGGCAGCCACCCCAGGCGGGGGCCTGCGGCGGCCCGCACTATGCCCGGCGCGGATGCGCGCGCGAATCCGCCCGCAGGGACCAGCAACGCGTGCCACGCGGCGTTCCGCCGCCGCCTCATTGTGCCCGGGACGCGACCTCTCACGGCGGCAAAACGCAAGGCAGGGCGCGCCGCAGCCCCACGGTCCTGCCAGGAACCTGGGCCGCCTCTGTCCGCCTTGCTGACTGCCGGCTCGGCCGCGAGGAGGCGCCGTGCCCGCGCCCGACGGCGGGCCGCCGAGGCGCCGACCTCGGCCTCCTCCTTCATGCGCAGCGCACTGACACGCCTGATGGGCCGCCCCGCCGTCGCTCCTGCGGGCAGCCCCCCGTAGCCATTGCTCATCTCCCAATCGCGCGCCGAGACCGCAGAGCGTGGGCGCCTGCGAGACATGTGGAAAAAGAGTACACTCGAACCAACATGGCTACATATGTGATGATGTGATGATGATGATGATGATGATGATGATGATGATGATGATGATGATGATGATGATGATGATGATGATGATGATGATGATGATGATGATGATGATGAGGTTACTGATGCTGATGTTGATGCTGATGCTGATGCTGATGATGATGATGATGAGGAGGAGAAATATGATTTGTATGATGATGATGCTGATGATGTTGATGATGATGATGTTGATGATGATGATGATGATGATGATGATGATGATGATGATGATGATGATGATGATGATGATGATGGCGGGAGGGAGGCAGAGGAGGAGGAAGGAGTGAACGCGGAGCGCTGTCTCTTCAGAACGAGGACCCAACACCACAAGATGGTCGGGAAACAAACGGAAAACTGATCCTGGCGAAGGACCAAACCATATGCAGCTGTGAGTACCGTCGTTGTGAGTATCGCCTTCGGTTGATCTCCTCATGGGGCCACGACGCGTGCGAAGGCTGTGCGGACATGGGGTGGGGGCGCCATGCGGGTGAGGGGTGTGCCGTAATGGGGCGGCGGTGCCATGCGAACCGTCCCACTGGGGCCTTAGGTAGAACTCCCGATGGGGCCACGAAACGTGTCAGGGGTGTGCCGTAATGGGGCGGCGGTGCCATGCGGACCCTCCCCCTAGGGCCTTTGGTGGAGCTCCCTATGGGGCCACGAAACTCTTTGAGGGGTGTCCCGAAATGGGGCGGCGGTGCCATGCGAATCCTTCCACTGGGGCCTTTGGTGGAGCTACCTATGGGGTCACGAAGCGTGTCAGGGGTGTGCCGAAATGGGGCAGCGGTGCCATGCGAATCCTTCCACTGGGGCCTTCGGTGGAGCTATGGGGCCACGAAACGTGTCAGGGGTGTGCCCGAATGGGGCGGCAGTGCCATGCGGACCCTCCCTCTGGGGCCCTAGGTGGAGCTCCATATGAGGCCACGAAGTGTGTCAGGGGTGTAGCAAAATTGGGCGGTGGTGCCATGCGAGCCCTCCCACTGGGGAGATCCCTCTGAGGCCACGAAACTTGTGAGGGGTGTGCCGGTTTGGAGGCGGCGGTGCCATGCGAACCCTCCCACTGGGGCTTGAGGTGGAGATCCCTATGGGGCCACGAAGCGTTTCAGGGGTGTGCCGATTTCGGGCGGCGGTGCCATGCGGACCCTCCCAAAGGGACCTTAGGTGAAGCTCCCTATGGGGCCACGAAGCGTGTAAGGGGTGTGCCGATTTGGGGCGGCGGTGCTATGCGAACCCTCCCACTGGGGCCCTAGGCTGCCTATGGGGCCACGGGGGCAGAGGCAGAGATGGAAGGAGGGGGGAGGGCAGCGGGAAGGAAGGGTGGACGGAGGGAGACGCGGGGCACCGTCTCTTCAACACGAGGGCCCAACTCCACGGGACGGTTGGGAAGAAGAACGCCACAGGCATCCACTTCCCTGCCATTCCTCCTAGCGTCGTCTCCCTCTTCACCGAGTCGTCGCTGTAGTGTAAAACAGGGCTAGGATCGGGATAAATCGCTCCAGAGCGTTCCGGAGCGCTCTCAGAGCGTTCCGGAACGCTCTGGAGCGGCCGCGGCGCCCAACACATCCTCCAAGCCCGCCGATTCTCAGAGATTTCGAGTGATCCCGATCCGATGTTGGCCCGATCTTCGCGTCGTTTGATAGGGTCGTCAGGGGGCGCCGGCACAAAAGGCGGCACCTCGAAGGATGAGCCGGTGGTACGCGGGGTGCAGCTGCGCCGTCGGCGGCGGCCGCGTCGCGGCCGGCAGCTCCGGCGCACCTGCAGGCCGCGCGGGCCAGATGACCGGGCCGCCCGCCCAGGTTCGCGCCTTCCCCGTATAGCAAATAATGGGAGCCTTGTGTACTCCAGATTTCGTAATAAAAGGGAGGGGGTCTGGACCCTCCAAGACAAGCCACTTCAGACCCCCCCCCGTGGGAGAGCCCTCCAAAACATCGTCCCCAGACCCCCCAGGCCCTCCAAGATAGCCTGGAAGAGACCCCCCCCGAAATGAGACCCCCCTCCCTTTATTACGAAATCTGGAGTAAGCGTCGACTAGCGTGTGATAGTCGATGAGATGGCGTCGATGTGGCGTCGATTAGCGCCGACTCGCAAGAGCCAACAGGATGGTATGAGAGGCTCCCAGGAAGTGCCACCGAACGCGCCTCGTGTTGGGCGACGTGCGACGCGCGGTTGGAGGATCAAGGAACTAGTTTTCCTGTTCCACCGAAAACAACCAGGAAAAGCAGACCGACAAATCCGCCACCGCTCAGGAGGGCTGCCTCAATTGCGCAAGTCACAGACAATCGAGCTCAGCGAGAAAAGTGCCCCGCCAATTTTGATCGGGGAGACAGGTTTGGCACAATTTCCCCCCCCTTCCGGGTGTCCAGAGATGTGGGTCACCTGGTTTTCGCGCTTCCCGCTCGCGACGTGGCGACACCCAGTGTAGGTTCGCGCTCTCGCGACGCCCCATCGAGAAGAGCAAACCTCTTGCCCAGGCCGCGAATTTGGAAGCGCGCCCATCTTCGTGCCCCTGCTGACGCCCTACGAGGAACTGGCCCGACCCCGAGCGCCGAGGGGAACCATCGACGCAACTACGAGACTCGTCCTCCATTTCCTCCTCGTTCTCCTCCCGGGCCCTCTGTGGGGCTCGTCGGCACGCCTGGATCCAACCTGATTAGAGCGCGCTTCCGGACAGGTCCGGGAGAGGACGAAGAGGACAACGACGACCCGGACCTCCAGGCAGCGCGAGAAAGGTCACGACGGGCCCAGGTTCTTCGGCACCTTCGGCCTCTGGGGGCCGTTTTTTGTGCCCCACGACCATCGAAGATCGACCCGCGGCGAAATTGGTCCTGGGTTGGAAACCCTCTCGGGGCCGTCTTGAGGCCTCTCGGATATGTGTCGCAGGCTATCCTGAGCCATCTTAAAGTGTATTGGGCCATCTTGGAGGCCATCGTGGGCTCTCTGAGGCCTGGGGGGCCACGTTGTGAGAAAGTCACGGCGTCGGAGGTCTGAGCCGTGGGCTGCTCCCCCTCATCTGTCCCCGCTGCCTCCCGCATCCCTCCCACCTCTCCCTTCGCGTCCCTTGCCGACTGCCCCGCTCGTGCCCAAGACAATCACGCACTCCAACCACGACCGTCCTCACGATTCGTTGAGCCACCTTCCCTCGGGAGAAGAACCAGACACCTTCCTAAGGGGCTGGCCTTTCTCTCGAGCCAAGCCGACTCCCTGACAGAAAGCTGGAAACACACACGGCTGGACCCACATGCGGAACATGCGTCTTGTCATCGCTCGGACGTCCATTCCCCGTACACTTTTCGATTTCGTGCGTTCACATTTTCGCAAAATGATCCGAGATGCTCATCGATGGCCCTCGCCGAGAAAAACGGCATATGTCCGAGCGATGCCAAAGCGCTGGCAACGCGGTGGACGCACACGCGGAAGGACGGCGAGCCTGGCCATAGAAGGCGGAGCGCTGGAAAACATGCGGCCACATGTGAATTCAGCCATCGAAAAAGCCGGCCACAATACGGTAGGTTCGTGTCGTGCCAACCCTGGCGACGACTTCTGACACCGCGCTAGATCGTTCAACCTTGAACGATCGGCCGTTTCCGAAACGTCAGATCGTTCAGCATCGACCGATTCTGGGTCGCAGGCGGCGATCAACGTTGAACGCCAGCGGCGGGGTCGCCGCCGGTCGCCACGACGCACCCTACCGTATATGTATCCAGCGCCCTGGGGGAAAAATATGCTCAGGCGGCTTCCACTCGGCGCCCGAGCCTTGAGGTTGTTTCCCGTGCCGTGGAAGATGTTCGCACTAAACTTGCGTGGCGCCATCAATTCAAGCATGTGGACCCTTCTCCATCCGACGAGTGGAAACGAATCTGTTCGAAGCCACGGCGACCTCGAGAGTTGAGAGTTACAGGGTGAGGTTTCATCCTACGGTCAACGGTTGTGCTCATGACCTGTACTCGGACGTTTGGAAAGCAATAGTCTCATCACGGATCCGGGTAGGACCGTCTCCCGTTTTACCCTTGATCGTGAGACATGGCTTCAAGCGGCTTCGGCACGGACTCTGGAACGTTACCGACCGGCAAAGACGACGGATTTGCCTTGGTACACAAATCAGCTCTTCGTGAAGGATTCTTCAGCGTGCTAGCAAACGACTTCCTGTACAAACCGATTGGGGTATTCGATCTTATTTCACTTCTTGAAGAATGCCGTGATACAGCTCCGGAGGTCGCAACAGTCGGATTCGACAAGCCATGCAATAGTTTGTTCCAACACCTGATGTCTGTTATGGACGAGGACCCGAAAAAAAGTCAGATACACATTGGGGGCTACGGCGAAAACTCACATGCCCCAAAGGAATACAATCATCACGCTTCATTCGATTCAGGTTCATTCTCCCATATCCCCGATGAACAAGCTGATTGCCCATATGTCGAGGGGCCATTTTGGAAACGCAGCCTCATCATGTTCGTGATTCGACGGATTTCCTGAAACGCATCCGGGCGCTACGTGTCTGTGTGTCCTTCTCGCTCGTCAAGATCGACGAGAAGGAATACTTTATGCCAGGATCCCACAGCAAGCTTCTAGATTAGGTTTCAATTTGTTTCGTTGGGTCAGCACGGCGGCGCTTTCAAATAATAGTTGAGGCTCGCACTTGCCAGCCAATTCGCTCAATTGTAAAATTTAGATTTGTTCACAAACAGATATGCGGGTCAGGCATGAGGTCATGTGTTCGGGTAAGGTGAGCGATGCTGCATTGCATCAAGTCGCAAAAACAAATGCTCGAAATAGCCAGTACATGAGCAAACCGGCTTGCTAACACATTTCCGCCTTAGAAAATGCTACTCTCGCTATCAGCGACGGGGCCCGGAAAACCGTGCACACATGTAGCCAACATCTGTGTATATGCCCGTGTCCCTTTTCGAACTGCAAATGTACCCTGTGAGGTCGGATCGGGTGGTGTTCTTAGATGTGTAAATATTTGTATATATGTATGTATGTATGTATATTTATATGTATATAATTACATATACATATATGAATATATATATATATATATATATATATATATGTATACATATGTACGTGTATATATACATATGTATATGTACACGTGTATATATATATATATATATATATATATATATATCGATGTACCGTCCGGGAAAGCTCGTTGGATGAACGCTGGACTACAGCGCCCATGTCAAGAGGAGTTCACCCTGGACCCCTCTGTCGAGGAACTCCCGCCACCACCCGTCGGCGCACGAGGCGCGGCCTCGAGCCATGCCCCGCGGATGCCACAGACTATACGCAGGCATCCGCGAGCTGCCCAGGGCCATACTTGGCGGCGCGTAAAGGGGGGCAGGGGGAGGGGGGAAGGCTTCTTAGAAGCACCCTGCTTCTTAGAAGGCCTCGGCCTCACGTCTATAGAGAAGGCCCGCGCCGCCTGAGAAGCAGGGGGTGCTTCTAAGAAGCCTTTCCCCCTCCCCCATACCCCCCTCTGCGCGCCGCCAACATACATCTACATGCCTAGCCTCCCGCGGACGTGCGGGGCACAACCTGCCGAGCGGACGAGCCGAGCGTTCGGGCCGACGCCCGCCGCACGCTCGGTCCAGGCCAGGGCGCGGACGGCATGCTTTGGCATCGTCGGCCCACAAGGCTCGGCAGCCCCGGCGCGCACGGAACCAACGAAGTGTACAAAGGTCGGCCACGGGACGCTGTGCGCGCGCAGGAGCCATCGGCGCAGCGTCCCGTCCGCGCGCGCGAGCGACTTCACCGCGCTGAGGCACTCGCGGCCCGCGATGTCGTCCAGCGCCCGCTCCCGGTCCGTGCAAGACCGCGCCATCTCCAGCAAGAGCGCCCACATCTCGCCGAGCAGCCAGAGCAGGCGAGGCCTCCAGAGAGCCCACTCGCAGGCCTCCAGCTCGCCACGATTCTCCTCGGCAGCGGCGCGGCACCTCCGCACGTAGCGGGTGCGTGCTATCGCGCGGGCCCCTGGCAGGGAAGCGGCCTCACGCCTTTCCTGACCACACCCGGCCAAGAGGCTCATCACGGCGTCGTCCAGCGTGACTTGCTCGGGGCGGCCGTGGAGCGCAAGCAGCCGCTTCTACAACGGTTCCTCGCCCCCCGCCTGGTTGACGAACTCCTGCAGCGGGAGACGTGCCTCCTCCACGCTGAAGTCCGCGGCCGCCGCCGCCGCCGCCTGCACGAGCATCTCCTCGAACTTAGGCTCGTCCGCCTGCAGCGCCAGACGCGGGACGGGGAGCCCACGCCCAAGCAATAAGGTTCAAGGGGACCAGGACACACAAATAACTACACACAAATAAGAGGATTCCCAAAATTTTCATATATTTTCTGGGTTTCTGTCTTCCCCCCAACTTCCCATATTTTTCAATATTTTCTGGGGAATCGACGATTCATTGTGTCAGTATGTTTTTTCCCCCTAAAAGGTGCTGACCCGCCGCCGCGCGGCGCCGAAGGCGCACGGCCCAGACGGCCGAGCGCCTGAGCCCAAAATGGCCGCAGCCGTTGGGCAGCGAGGAGGCTACACCTACGTGCTGGCACACGGGGGCCAATGCTGGAAGTGATTTGGACGCCCGAAGTGGGTACGGAAAAAATGGGTACAATGCCCAACAACAAATGCTGTCCCAAACCAACAGCGGCCGCTGTTGGGCAGGCGGCCTTTTGTCTCGAATGGACACAGGCCGCGGCGGTGTGGACAGCGAATCCTGTTCAAAATGAACAGGAACTGCTGTTGGGCATTGTACCCATTCTTTCGGTACCCATTTCGGGCGTCCAGAAACGACGGGCGATGTCCACAGCGAAGTTCTCCACCACGTGGCGGGTTCCGGAAACCCTGAAGCAACTGGCACTGCCACCTCTCGGGAGGCCAGGGTTTACATTCCGCCGGACTCCGCCGGCCCTCCGTCGGCCTTCCGCGGGCGGAGGCGGCCTCGTGCTTCCGCCGCCCCTCCGCCGCCTTCTCCCGAGGAAGAGATGGCAACTTGTTCGACCCATGTCCCAGAGGAGGAGAAGGGGGAGGAGAAAAGAGAAAGAAAGAGGAGCAGGAGGAGGAGGAGGAGGACGAGGAGAAGGAGGAGGAGGAGAGGGAGGAGAGGGAGGAGGAGGAGGAGGGAGAAGGAGGAGGAGGAGGAGGAGGAGGAGGAGGAGGAGGAGGAGGAGGAGGAGGAGGAGGAGGAGGAGGAGGAGGAGGAGGAGGAGGAGGAGGAGGAGGAGGAGGAGGAGGAGGAGGAGGAGGAGGAGGAGGAGGAGGAGGAGCGCCCTTTCTGAAACGCCCCATGTCCCAGACGGACGCGGCTGCGCTCTGCGAGCACACCTCGGCGCCTCTGCCACCTCCTCCCTGTGAGCCCCCGCCCGGCCTCAGAGGATATCTCTGACGGCGCGGCCGCGCAGCCGGCCAACGCTTCTCCACGGCAGGGCACGCGACTTCGGCGACCGATCTTCGGCGACCGATCTTCGGCGTGGCTCGCGTATTCAGGCATGTTCCAATCTCAAGGTCGACCCCCACGACCCCATCTCGAGCACTTCCAGACGGCATCCCTAAGCGGATTCGAGTCCAGCCGCGGCGACGAGGGTCGAGAGGTCCAAGAAATCGAGAAAGATGTCCCAATGCCCCCTCGGGGGGGATGGGGAAGAGGAGGATGAGGAGGAGGAGGATGCGGAGGAGGAGGAGGAGAGAGGAGGAGGATGAGGAGGGGGAGGAGGAGGGGGAGGAGGAGGCGGAGGAGGAGGACGAGGAGGAGGAGGAGGAGGAGGTGGACGAGGAGGAGGTGGAGGAGGAGCGAGGAGGGAAGGATGGGTGAGGGAGGGAGGAAGGAAGATGAAGAGGAAGAGGAAGAGGAAGAGGAAGAGGAGGGGAGGAGGAGGAGGAGGAGGAGGAGGAGGAGGAGGAGGAGGAGGAGGAGGAGAAGGAGCTGGAGGAGGATGGATGATGTAAGAAGAGGAATGAGGAAGGACCCCCTTCCCTCCTCTGGCACGTGGACACCACCAGACCTCTACTAGAGCGCGTTCTGACTATGATTTGGGGGAAGATCCAGCCGTGGCGACGAGGACCACCGAAGGCCGAAACGAGGAAAAGGAGGATGCCCTGGAGGTCTCCGGAGGTCCCTGAGGGTCGGCGGAGATCCCCGGAGCTCTCGACTGAGGTCCTGGAGGTCGTCGGAGGTCGCCGTAGGCCCCCGGAGGTCTCTAGACGCCTCTAGAGGACACTGGAGGCCCCTGGAGGTCTCTAGAGGCCTCTGGAGGTGGCTGTAGGCTCCCGGAGATCTCCAGATGCCTCGAGAGGTTGCTGTAGGCCTCTGGAGGCCCCTACGGTGAGGGCACGGGAGAAGGAACCATCGAATCAGGGATCCAGGGTCTCGAGGCACGTGGAACTCCAGTCGTGGATTGGCCAAGGGTATCACAGCCGCCCCAATCAGACAAGGAATCCTCCAGGGTCTGCAGCCCTCTGGGCACATTCCTTGATCCACGCCTCCACCGTGTTTCGGGAGCGGCCAAGAGGGGGGTGTCCAAGAGGGGGGGGTGCAAATCATGACGGGCGGCATGTGCGCGGCCCAGCGGGGGGGCCAGGGACGTAATGAAATAAGAAGAGGCGCCATGAAATCTGGGGAAATATCATGGCCCACGCCATGATATCCACCCCGACTATAGTCATCACCCCCCTCTTTTCCGCCCCCGGGTGTTGGCCCCTGGGGGTCGGCAGAGGTACCCGGAAGTCTTCGGTGTTCCCCGGAGGTCCCCCCCTCGTCCGCCCCCTCGTCCTCGCCCTCCCATGGGTGAAGGGGCCCCAGGACACACAAATAAATACACACAAATAAAAATAGTACCCATGTTTTCCCATATTTTCTGGGTTTTTGTCTTCCCCCCCACTTCCTATATTTTCCCATATTTTCTGGGGGGTCGACGATTAATTGTGTCTGTGTGTTTTTCCTCTCCTGAATAAGAGGGGCTGCCCCCCCCCCCGTCCCCCCGCGCACCGCGGAGCCCCGATGCTTCCGCAGCCGCCTCGGGCATCCCCGCGGGCGCCGCGGCGAGGGGCACGTGGCTCCCAGCGGCGCCGCCGGCCTGCTGGTGACAGTGACAGTGACAGTGACAGTGACGACGACGACGACGACGACGACGACCACGACCATGACGGCGACGACGACGACGACGACGACGACGACGACGACGACGACGACGACGACGACGACGACGACATCGTCGACGGCGACGGCGACGACGACGACAACGGTGGCCGACAGCAACGACGGCGCGACGACTACAACGGCGACGACGACCATCACGACAACGAGGACGGCGACGAGGACGAGAGTAACAATAAGGAATTTCGCGTATTTTGTGCGATCCTGTGGCCTCTCGTAGCCGCCACGGCTGGATCCGCCTCCCTACCTGGGCCGTGACGCGCCCCATGACAGGCCCAGGAGAGGACGAAAACGACACCCACTAAAAGCCCCGGGCGAAGTGAAACGAAAACACGACAGGCGTGAGCTGCTTTGTGATTTCGGCGTTTGGGGAGACGACTCCGTGCGCTGAGACAGTCACCCAGATACTATCCCAAAGTGGCCCAGGCAAAAACCGGCCCCATGGAGCACAGGATTGGGCCGAGAGCTCTACGGGCCCACGTCGTTAAAAAAGACTCCGTGGAAGTCTGGGGACACAACAAGGACAATCGCCCCATAATGTATTATCCGCCGTCCATCTGTGTAACTGGTGGCAACGTGAAGCTCTCGGACCATGATCTGCCACGGAAGTGTCAAGGGACGACCAGATAGTGAAACACACTTCGGCTACATTCGTGCAAGTGCAGCTGCTGCATATTTGAGCTGCGCGTGTCATCGCTAGCTGAGTTAGGTTGAAGCGAGAGCACGGTAACTCAAACTATCTGCCTTCCATCCGGGCAACTGTGGGCAACGTCAAGAGTTGGAACTGTAAGAAGTGAGGATGCATAAAGCGATGACCGTGCTTTGAACATCACATGCCCTCCATTCGAGTAGCTGTTGAAATTATGATTGCAACAGGAATAGCATGGACATATCGGGAAAACCACCCAGGCCATCCGATAGGCTCGTCTAGTACTGCGACGAGGCGGAGACGTCTTGGATGATAAGTTGAGATTGTCGAACAACGCTCCTGCCATGGTTTACGGATTGGTGGTCTGCACACCTCCTGGGGGCTCGCAATGACCGCTCTGCGACCCTCAGACCCACGCGACGGAACTTGAAACGACCGAAGTGACGAACTTCCAGGCGGTTGGATACTTCGTCAGAACGAACGAGCGAAACAACACAATTCATCAACTCAAGGCCAGAATTTGCAACGCAGACCTCTCACTCAGTAAACGCAGCGGGCGGTTTAGTAAACACAGCGGGCGGTTTAGTAAACGCAGCGGGCTGTTTAGTAAACGCAGCGGGTGGTTAAGTAAACCGAGACAGGGCACACTTATGTAATACATCGTGCAAGCGGGGGAGGGGGGGCGAGGCGCATTTCGCAACACGCCCGAAGGCTTACTAAATCCAAGATCGGCTTTCCAAGCTACTTGGGTCGGCAAAACGAGTGCCCGAATATGTGAAACAACTGCTCTGATTCGTGAGCACTCAAACGTAGTTCGCCGCTGAAACGCTGCAACTGGGTCCCCTGGAGAGCTAATTCCGGTAAGGTCCTCTGGAGGCATTGCAGATGGGTGATTCTGAGCACCCAGGAAGGTAGGGGCGGTTCTTTGCGCCCTCGAATAAGGGGACGATCTGCAGGAGACGTAGTGGGAAGAGGGATGGACATCGCTTCTAGCAAAAGGAGGAAGGAACAGGTTGATGATGATTACATCAATGGTATGGCTGGCTAAAGAGGACCGGTGGCTCAGACCTGGGGTCGTATAGGGGTGCCGCTTCAGCTCGCACTGCTGGCCGAACTGGAGGCGCAGGGGAGACGGATAGGGGGCGGAGGAAGGCGAGAACGGAGGCGGGGCAGAAGCAATAATAACAGAACGCGAGAGCACCAGGAGCGGAAGAGCCCAGATCCGAGGTGCTTGTG